AGTTAGTAATGCGTACGCACAAGATCATCACTTAAATGACCGGATTTTTTTTAACTAGTTATTAATTAATTGAAAACCAAGTTCCTAAGGCGCATCCTATCCTATAGGCGTGTATTCCAAGCCAATGCTCACCAAGGGTATAGACGCGTCGGTCTTACTATCGCTTTTAATAATTAATTCACGCTGGTCAGGCACGCCATATTGATCATCTTGTACACTTCCAACATCTGTTCCGATTTGTTGAGAGGAAGCCACAGAAACAATTCTTACTTCCAAATGATGTCATGTTACGCATATCGGATAGCATGACGTGGGCTTAGCCGTTAAATTCCTAAACAAACCTACACTGTCGGGAACTGAATCTCGCCTATGATGGTCGCTGACGTATGGATCCGTTAACTGCGTTTCCAAAAAATGTAACAAACTTTTGGAGTGCATGACTTGATTGATAACGTTTACGCACGAATCAGATAAATTCATTAACTCGTCCGAGTATTCCGTGGATTTTAAGGGAATCATGAGCTCAAGTATATACATTACGATTGGTTCGAAAAGTTACGTAATTTAGCATTGCGTTAACGAAAACTACCTCTGCTACAAATACCGTTACTTGACTTTTGTTCCAGAACAATAATCTATAATAATCTTATTCGGATTCAAATGGTAAGTTGAAACGGAAATGAAACTAACGTTAAAAATGTCAAGCATGAAAATTGAAAGAAAGCCATTGTACTTTCTCTCCGAATCCACGGTTATCAATTAAAACTTCAAAATTGACAGCTTTAGAAACTAGCTTAAAACGCCAGGTCTTTCTCTCATCTCTCACAAAAATCGTTATTTACTCAATCCTGTAAGGATTGCTTTTTAGACTTTTTTCATACTTGCTTAATAAATGATGTGACTTATGAAGTGTTGCGTTTTGATAAATGGTCACAAAGGCTTCGCGTCTGCTTAAATAATCTCATATCTGAGTGGGTCCGAAAAGGATTAGCAGCAAAATTACCATGCATTTCTGCTAGACTGTGCAGGATCTCACATTCTAGCACCGTATAAAGTGCATTTGTATCTGGCTAATTTTTTGTCAAGTGGCTGAATTAAACGCCACCTCAGTCTGAAGAAGTTTTTCAACCTTTCTTGTCCAGAAAACCATTCCAGTGCAAATACCGCTTACTTTATCGAAACACCCAAACAACGTAAAGTGTTAGAAGAGATCTTACTTCTAATATTTATTTTTATATTTATTACCAGTAAAAGAGATATGGCCTTAAAGAAAAATTAGAAACTACTCTTCGATATTTAGGGTTATCAACAGGCATCTCCATAAACTACATTTTCTTTTGTGATAAAGTGCTGGACAGCTTCAGGCCAAGTTTGCTAATATGATTTTATGTAATAAATGATAATGAACGAAATAAATGGTTTAAATGCACTATTATAGTTAAGCATCACCTATACAGTTTCTAGGTTTTTTCCAGACGTAAAAATAATAGAGACTTAGCCAAATGAACAATGATTCTGACAATGAGAACAACAATCATCATTCGTCAATTAATATTAATGTACTCTAACCGTCTTTCACAGCATCATTTCCGTAATGAAGGCCATGTATGTTGTCCGCAACGTTTGGGACAGCAAATAAGGCCCACAGTGTAAAACAAATCCTTCCATGAATAACAAGCGGTAAGCTAATACTAATCAAGTAAATCAAAAAAGTGCCTTTATGTAGTTTTGGGCTCGGTCAGACAGGTCATCTTCTATTTTTTATTTAGGCTACGCTTATGTGATGGAGAGATATGAATCAGGCAAAATAAACGGATTTATTTGATCATAATGGGAATTCTACCACAAGCAGAGCAAGACACATAAGTGACTTATGAATACGACAGAGACCCGTAATTTTTCTAACCCCCTAATTTGATTATTTGACGATACTTTTTACGATTTGGTTTTGTAGAGCAAGACACTTGTCCCCTCCGCCTATTGGCTTAGAATGTTGTAAGTTCTTAAATTTTCCGTCGTTTTTCTTGTACCATTAAAGCTCTATATTTTTTATATAAATAAAATATATATAAATAAATAAAATAAATATATAAAGAATATATTTTCTGTTCTAAGTGAGTTTCTTGACACGTATGGTGTAATATAATGGAACCGCATTTTCGAATTCCCACGCACATGTAGGACACTGATTACGAATGAGAAGTTCTGACACTCAGGGAATATCCACACTGTATTTTTCTTGTTATATAGATCTGATATTGTATCTATATCTTGTTCATCCGTTTGACGAGGGCACAACGTCTGGATGCCGTGGTGCTATGTCGTAAATGCTAGACTTAAAATAAATCATCCGCATTTATCAAGAATGGAAACTGATTTTGAGGTCTCTTCTAATTTTCCTCGTTACGTCATGATTTCAACGCTTTCTCTGCCAGTTTAACCAGATGTGTCCATTCCCTACAGAATAAAAAGGACAAATTTGAAATGTTCAGGATAATAAAGAAAAGAACATTCAGAATCCAGAGTAGATAAAACCTCAGTTTTATATACTTCGGGTTCAATGAACTCCCTCAGATGTTTTAATTAATTTCGAATATTATAGTTGAGTACAGAAGATATAGTCGAAATATTTAAATGTAGACCGATTACTCTAAAGCTCACGTGCCAAGCCAATCATTTTGCTTTTCTATGGAATATAAGCTACAGGTGAGCATCTTGTCACCCAGGGTTCGAGCTTGTGCCAACGCATCATACTATTTTAACAGGGCCACACTAAAAAAAGGTCTCCTTATCTAACAAGAATATAGTTAGTGTACTGTTTAGTCAGTGCAAACTGCATGTCGATGACGGCATTTTCGCACCACCCTCAACTAAGTACTCGTCTAGTGGAGAGGGCAATGTTGGAGCGTTGTTGTTCGCTTACTGGACACAACGGAGCTCAGAGACGTTGAGAAAGCACACAAGCAGCCGAATACCATAGCCTGCATGTCTGTGTCTGGATGAGTTTGTATATGGGTCTATGGCTAACTAGATGTATGTCTTTCCGCCGGTGTTCGGATGTGACGCTGGCTACATATTGACGACGGCGTGGATGGGGTGAGAGTCATGAGACCACTTCGGAAATCCCGTCATCTCCTTGTTTTCCTCTTCCTTTTCGGTGCATTGTTGGCAGCAGCATCTTCAGTTCGAATCTCGTGCTGCGCACTTCATTGAACTCCTGAAAAGGTGCTCCACTGGGTCTAACGATGGTGGAAGAAATTTACCTCGTTTCACTATATCTTTACGGTTATGCCATAGTGTTGATCGGAGATTAACAGATCTACCTTAGCGTACAAATTGAAAAACGAAACTAGCGCCAGGTGCACAACTATACCCCGAACAGTGCTAATAGACATAAAATAAGCGGACGGCATAACAGGGCCGATAGCAGCGCTAATGCCATATCACCACCTGGAACAACACCAATAACTTTAACTAGATGTAGCCGTTACCGTACAATAACATCGGTCATGTTCCCAGAGCTAACCTTAGTTCCGTTATCTGCATCATAATCATCACCAGGATTTAGCCAGAGGCAGTAGAGGGCCAATAAGCTGCTTCACAGCAGAGCCCCGAGCACTCACAACAACAACAACTGAACTTCATAGGATAGAGAACGAATAGGAGGAGATCGGTTCTGTGGTGGCCAAACGCAGATCCATTTGTTTCTCGATAGTATTATATTACTGGGTGACGTAAATGTAGATAGTGCTGCATGTCGGTCGACTGCGTCGTTCTTCTTAGGTAACGACATAGCGTGGCTGGTGTCACCATTGCTTATAGTTTGCATAGGTTAATGACAGCTGACCAAGGCGTTGAGAACAAAATCAGATTGGTTCAGCTTTCCTATCCTTCCTTGACGTCGACAACGCCGTCTTCGTTCACAAAGAGGCTCACCGGGCTAACGAACGCTACTGGATTCGACTACAGAAGAAGCTGGAGGCTGCATAAAGCAGGCCAGGCATGGGCCAGCACAGTGACGCTAAGTGACTACTGCCAATTCGCCGCTATCGGTGATGCAGGCTGCAAAGAAAAATACATAAAAGCATAAAAGCGCAGAATAAGCGGAATTACGCAACAGCGAATAATGCGGCATAAAACACACATATACCGTAAAGCTAATAGTGGAAGTGCAGTAGCTAGCTATATAGGCAATATGTAGTTTGTCTGTACCCATTTCCGTTGAACTTTGATGGCTCACTGATTTCAGAACTGAAACTCTTCGATGGCACTTCGGATTAGGCCAAGTCATAAATGCATACGAAAATTGCACGTGTACAGTCAAAGAAAATGTTCTGGGAGTTCAGATCTCATTCTGCTACATGATCTGTAGCTTGAATGATTTCTAGCTACGTGCAATCTATCTACTATAAATTCGGAGTCTCTTTTCATCAATAGACGCCGTTCCCTCTTCTTTCGTCTCCACTGGACGCTCCATACTCCTTCTAGAGAAGCTCAAACACGCTCATCGCCCGCCAAGACGACCAAACACCCACCCAACCGGCTTAGAAACGAAGGCTTTACCCAGCGATTCTCAATGCGCTACCTCCATAGACGGCGTCGTCCACTCACTCCACGGAACCAACGAACGAACCACAGCTACGACGACGTCCCACAGACTCAGACTCTCCTTCCCAAACACAGACACACACATCCAGTCGCTGACGTCCATGCAGCAGACTCCCATACTTACCCGCGCGCAGTCCACCACACGGCGCCGACCGAACACGCATTCAGACCTTATGGGCAGCATAGGGTGCTCACAGTCGACCTAACCAAAGTTCTAGGTAGGAGCACTTACACACTCACAGAATCCAACGTTCCGCCCTTTCTCAACTGGCGGCGGCGGCGGTTGCCGCTGTCGGAGGAGAATCAACGGCCGCAGCAGCAGTTTACCCCTCTCCCACCAGCAGCGGCAGCATTGGCGGCGGAAAATCCATAGAGCGGAGCGGTGAAGCTGCCATCCAGCAGACGGGGGAACCAGGTATCCAACACTCAGTTGTAGTAGTGCTTCAATACGAGCAGTAGCTGCTGTTGCTGGAGATATCAGATTCGGCAAACGACGCCGCCCAACGCCGCCGCAGAAATACTGAGCTAACCGTTTGCTGTTCCTCGACGACGTCTCCCTTTTCGTCCGCGAGTAGTAGTGCAGTGTGGTAACTTCGTGCGTGCTGTGCTGATTGCCATTGTGTCCATTTGGCATACGACTAACTAACTTCTTGTTATTAACGGCTAATAACAGGAGAGTGGTCATTTTAGCCTTTTCGTCTCGTCGTTGACAAGAGAACGTAAGTTATCAAAAAACTCAAATAACAAAACCACAACTCAGCTATGCCGGGTTGTTGAACAATAACAATACAGTTTGATACCATTGATTAGGTAACAAGGCAGTTTTCTTGTTGGTACAGTCTATAGGCGATACGAATTAATCCAGAATGAGAAGATTTAGCGATACATGCACGTATCGGTCATGGATTTTTAAATATGTACGCTGTTTTCAGAAACCATAACCAATTTAAAAAGGTGCAATTGAATTTCGATTCAATACTGTTGCTTTATTTTAGTGACTGATGCCTGTTCGCATTTGACGAATTGCCGTGTTCTCCGTCGTCACGGCGAATCTTGGAAGTGGGTGGTGCTTTTTGCTGAATATCGGCCATGTTTATTTATGTCCGATTAGACCTCCTAGCAAAATAGAAATGTACATCTTATCATAAGTGCTATATATAAACAAGATAACAATCAAACCTATGTTAAACAAAAATGAGACCATATCAAATATCCATTCATTTGAATCAGTCGTAATTCTGGGGTATCCCCCGAATTCTCTATAATTTTACAAACTAGTTCGGTGTTTTTCTCTTCCGATTCGAGTCAGTGTCGGCTAATCCCATTCACGATTTTTCGTCATCTCCTTATTCTCGAGGCGTCCAGCGTACGCAACTATTATTCATTATCGTCGAGTTATCTTCCCCAGCGCTTCCGGCCGCTTTTGTGTACTACTGTTCTCTGGTAAAATTGTGTACCATGGTACAGCTTTCAGGCTTCTTTCACGTATAATCTCAACGAGGCCAAGTCTATATTAAGGAGCTGTTGAACTCTCATTATGGGGCAGTGCAATCGCGGCCAAGGTAACGCAAACGCTCCGTGGAAAAGACCCGTACTTCATTTCGTATGGCTTCCCGCTGCTGTTTGGTTCCTATTTCTACCGAAAGGACGAGTCTGCGGGAAAAAGTAACCGACTCACTTTTCGTGTTCATCCGCCGTCAGGCCGTTCGTATCCTGGGTGGGGTGGTGCTATGGGTGTCATAGTTGTCTGTTGGCCTGTACAGACAGGCCTGCTGGTGCTGCTGCTGCTGCTGTTGTTGGTGTTGCTACTGGTCATATTTAGACTCTCTGTCTGCTTGAATGTACGTGTTTAGGTGAGGATACGCTCGACAACTGCGCATCTGTTCTTTCTGATCGTGCGATTTCGCGTGAATGTGTCACTATTGATTACTTAGTTATATCATCTCTACATTATCGTACCTGATAATGAAAGGCCAAACAGAACCGCCTATAATTTCATTAGGCAAACATTCTGCAGCAACAGAAAATGACAGAGAAATACAACGGACAGCGTATCGTCTTTCCTATCGGAGCAATCGTCTAAAACAATAGCCGAGAAGTCGTCTGCATAGCTACCAAAGTGAAGTGACAAGTAAATGGCGGGCCAAAGCTGTGAGGCCAGAGTTTATGCTTTCGCTCATTCATAGATCTACACAATCTTAGATCACTGCCAGCGGCTGCCGCTTTATTGGCAAGATGGCAGTGGTAGTTGACATTTAATGGATCCGCTATTGCTGCTTTGAGCAACTCTTGTTGCGCTGTGTTTCATTGAAGATGGACCGACGCCCTATAACTTAAAGTTCAGATGACGTCGAGACGTAAACGCTATTCTGAGAACGACAATTCGGCCTGCCAAATTTCACGACAGAATAATATGAATGGATAGTCTGTTAGTCATGTACGGCAGGAGAAGGGGATGCTGAAAACTGAGGGGGCGTAGCCACTTAAATCATTCCAATAGAATCGAGCATCCGTTATAAAAATATACGTTGCATTTAAAATAACGCCGAAACAAATCTATGCGTACAAGCCCCAGCCGCATTCTATTGAGTTTTAATTGACAGCGAGTGCACTACTGGAGATGCAATGAAGATAGATAGGGTTGAGAACGGAGAACTTGGAAGACGTCTCAAATTTTTTCTAACTAAAAAATGAAGCAGATATGTTTTTCAGGTGAATTATCAATTCAGATCCAAACGTCTGTCCTGGTCACGCAGTGCCAGCGTTGGGGCCGGTAGTAACGCTTATTTTCAAATAGGTTTATGATTACTATTGAGAAGTTGCTCAAAAAAAATCGTTGGAATTGAGTTCACCTTAATTGTAATTGTATAGTACACGCCTTATATTAAACGATGTCCTATGGGCCTTATTGTTTGTGCAGATTTCTATCATGAGAAGCATGCTTTTATAGATATAGCTTATTTTCTAAAAAAAAAAAAACTCGAGCTGAATTCGTTAATCGCATGAAGTGATTTATCAGTCATGAAAGGCCCATATTTGGACTAGACTTGTTCGAAATAGTGGTAGGATGAAGGAACAATGGTTGCGACAAACTTGAAATGCCTGGAGCACATATGAAGGGTGATAATTGCCGTATTATATATGCCACTATGTGTGTATGCAATTTTTCGTAGAAAAAACCATCGTCACACAGTATTTTCCTAGAGCAGACTTAAAGCTTTTGCAGTTAGCCGTTATATGTTATTATGATTGAGCTTATGCTCTCGACGGAAGGGGTCAGTTCGCTAATTGTCATCTTTCAGACCGTTAGACAAATCAGCGCCTTAGTGTATTAGAGTTTCAAGTACAAGGATTTTTGCTAAATTCAACTATATCATTAATTAATCTATTTATATTATAAAGTTTATTTCAAATATATGTAATATATACATGTATATAATGGTGGCAAAAACATAGGTCTCTAATAATAGATCCGGACCTTTGTAATGGAACCAAGTAAAAAGGCTGAATCATATAATCGACATACGGTTAGAGTAACTTTATTATTACGTCGCTAATGACGTTTAACACTTGCAACGCTAGCAAACGTCTGGGCAACGAAGCGATATTTATCATCAAAGATCAAATAAGCTACTTTATATGCAAGCACACGAGAATTATGACCGTGATTATTATCGTTATTCTTTTCCGCTCGTACATATTGTCGCTATCTTAGGCGTGTAAGTAAATGGGTAAAAACATTTCTGGGCTTCTAGCCCAAGGCACGCATGCACAATTTTTTCACACCTATGGAATACTTCCAATATATAACAGCGCCGTGTGCGCGATGAATACGAGATCGGTGGAGCTTACGGGACAAACCGTTCAATCAACGGACCGATTTGCGTCGCAGTTTAATTCTCAGTCTACGATTTTTCAACGACGACGCTGTTTTTGTTGTTGTTATTGCGTGCGGTTCGATTGAGCGTCATCGGCGGTCGCGTTCGCTTAGTCGTAATTAGTGCTTGCAACACATGGACGCCGCTGCTTTTGATTACCATATTGAGTGTGCTAAGAGTCTGCTCATGTTTGACATGACTCATTTCGAACGCTGTTTACCATGTTAGGGGAAGCCTGTAGTAGGTTAGTACGCGATAGCGTCGTCCACTTACTGGACACGTCGTCATCGTCAGCGCCGTCGCCATTTACTAGCAAAAATGATGATGAAATAGCTTATGCGTTTGTTGCCATCACCAGCACTAGCGCTACTGGAAGATCTGGGCGTCTGTTGTTGCGGCACTCGCCACCGTTGGACTCATTCTACATTAGCATGAGGATGGCGATGTAGATGCTTTGAATGTTACCCATGGTAGCTGCGTAGCGATGGTCTCGCTCATGCTAGTTGGCACACGTTGCTGATGCCACCCTTGTCGCTGATCTCGTGCTTCCAGCGACTCTAAGGGTTTGTCTATCTGTCATCGTTTCTGGTTGTTGCTGCAAGGAGTCGCTGCCTGTCTATCTTACAGTTGCTTGTACACGGCAGCGGCAGCTGCCGGCGACAACCGCCGGCATCCCGTCCCATCGAGTCAGTGAAGTCAGCTGCTGCCAACGACAGTTTGTTGCTCGCTGGGCCTGTTGGCTCTATGTCTGGCTAGATCAGTTAGTCGTTGAACGGCTGGTTGCCGCTAATGGCGGCTGCTGTTGGTGATCACTACCGACTCCGGGATCGCGATCTGCATCTACCGACTGATCGCACCGAGTGTTCTGCTTGGGCTTGGTTCGTAATCCGTGGGCCAACCAGGGGTCGGCTTGTGTGGCGACTCTGGTTTGTTCAAACAAAACTGGACTTGTCGCTGTTATTATTAGCGTCCACACGCAGACAAATTAGCACAATAAGCACTGGTAGAAAAGTTTATGCGACGCCTGGACATTCCAAGTGCAGGACTGAGTTCAACTTTTATTCCGCTTTTCCATTTTTGAGTATCCTTGATAATTGATGAACGAGTCAAATGCAAGGGTACTATTGAACGAAAGTAAAACGAGTCGGTGTTTGTTCGTGCCACCTATCGAAGAAACCTACACGACTACGAATGGTACAAGGACCAGTTGTCTTAACGAGCTCAGCTCGTCACCATCGCGTGGTTTCTTCGTAGCTGTTGAGATTTCTCAAATAATAAAATAGTTTTTGAAAACTGTTGTTGGCCATTAAAAAGTCAAATGACCGTTTAGTTGAAAGAGAGAAGACCTTTAACTGGGCATGAGTTAGTTTTATCTCATACTTGATTCACCCAGTTGAAGGACAACCCCTAAAGCCGGGCCTTACTTTACTCGAATCACACCTGGTTATAACAATTCATAAGAGTCCGGATCCGTTACGCCTAAATATGATTCTTTTGAAATAGGAACAACTCTAACTATTCGATTCGATATCGACAAGGCGTGCCTAATTGTGTCGCCAAAATTCATAAGCCGTTCGCCGTAACTTATATCTTGTCTACAAATAACTAATCCCGCATGCGCTTCCACTGGGCCACATAAATGCCTATGCATTATCACAAAACCAATAACAGTCCACAGTTTTTCACCAGAATGAACTATATCGTTTTAATTTAATCGCTCGTCTATGTGGGCATTCAAAAGACAATGTTATTAGATCCTCCGGAAAAAGTGAGTTAGTTACCATTTACCTTATTGTATCAAGTTTGTTTATATCACCGACATACTAACACTTTTAGGCTTT